TGATTTTAACCCACTGGCCCCAGGACTAAAACCACTGTCAACTACATGGGAGTCCAGCGACAGCCATTATGCCAATTGCTGGTCCCAGAGTGTTTATTTTCCTGAGAAACCACCAGTCTTCTAAGGTGGCTGCACCAGGTTTGTTTCCACCAGCAGCAAAGGAGCCTGTCGTTGCACATAGTCACCAGCATTTGGTGCTGTGGTTGTTTTGGATTTGGGCGATTCTAACAGGTATGTAGTGTCATTTTCCAAGTTAATTATTTTTTTTTTTTTGCCATAGGGCATGAGTGATCATCTGAGGAAGAGAGGAGTCACCCCACCCTGGGTGAGGTGGATGATGGCCATGCCAAAATACTTCTCCATTGTCCTGGGATGGGTAGGGGGGCATGTACACACATGCACCAAATCTGATTTTAAAGCTGCCAGATCCAGGACTCAAACCAGAGTTGCCCATGTGGGAGTCTAGCACCTTAACCAGCATGTCACCTGCTGGCCCCCAAAATTTACTGTCTTAACCATAATTAAATTTAAATGTACAGCTTACCTTGCAAAACTGAAACTGTCCATTAAATAAATCCCCAGGGGGCCTGGGAGGTGGCATGTGGTTAAAGGCAGTGGATTCCCACATGGCAGACCCTGGTTTGAGTCCTGGACCTGGCAGCTTGTTTATTCACTTTTTCTTTCTGTATCTGGTCAAATTAAAAAATGATAATAACAAATAATTTAAAAAAAATAACTCCCTGGGAAGCTTGCCCCCCCCAAAGTTTTCTGTTTCTACAATGTCTCTCACCCCCACCACTCCACTCTGCACACCTGTTCTGTGGAACTGCAGGTACCCTGCTGTTGTCAGACTGCCCCTCCCCTCAACTCTCATTACCCAGGCCGGCAGAACCTGCCTTTCAGCTACCCCCCAAACAAGCCAGGACATTGGACTGTTCCAGTGAACTGGAGCTATTCTGCTCCAAAGGAGGAGCTGAAAATGGAGCATCTCCTCCCAATGGGAGGGGAAACAAAGGCACACAATGCTGGGACTGTCGTACTTTTGGCCTCAACCTGCTAGGCTCTACAGCTTCCTAACTGGTTTCTAGAATCCTCATGATGTAGGCCATATACCCTTGTGAGCCCCAAGCTGCCTTTAGGGAACAAGAATCCAGAGCTTCCTAGTCCATTTCCTTTATGACCTTTCCTGTTCACTTTATTTCTTTCATGATAGAAAAGCCCTCTGACAGCGTTCCCAGCCTCAGCCAGGCCAGATCACAAGCATACAGGGTATCTGGGTTCAGGAGGAAGAGGCAGGCCCTGGGATGTGAACTAGGAACTCTCCCATGTGGGTCTTGTTGGCTAGTGCTGCACAACACGTGGCGCCCCTTTCTGGCATCTCGTGTCAGTGTCCAGAGGGCGAGCCAGAACCTAGTACACACCACACCGTAAACAGGAAGTCCCAGGGTTGGGGAAGGGTGTTTGTGTTTTTCTGAAATAATCCCAGAAACCTCTGTGCTGGCCTTCAGAGAACATGACGTCCAGAGTAGAGCAGTACCTCAGAGCCTGCCACTGCACGTGGATGCTCAGCCTCCTTGCATGACCCTGAGACTGCCTGGGCCATTAAGCCTACCTTGGAGGGCTACAAGAGATTAACGACCGGAGCGCATGGATTCTGGCCAGCACTGCCTGGTTCTCAGGGCCCGGGCGTGGACACCACAGTTGTACAGTGGCTGGAAAAGGCCCAGGCCCGGTTATTATAGGTTTTCCTCAAGGCGACCCTGACCTGCACTGCAGCCTTGGATCTGGAGGGCCCCACCCTTCTACCCACACTGGGATGACTGCTCGGGTAAAGCCTGACACACCACAGAGTGAAGACTAAACAAAAGGCCCTTTTTCAGGGCCACACAGGATGAACACCTGGCCCATCCTGCCAGCCCTGCTGTCACCACCTGCGTTCTGCCAGGGCCCTGGGTAGAACATGCAACCCGGACAGGAGCGTCCAGCTGAGGCCAATAGGAGGCCACAAACAAGAAGTCCCCAGGGTGCCTGGGGTCCTGCCCTCTGGTCAGGTGAGTGGCCTCCACGTTGTCTCCCTGCCTGCTAGAAGCCCAGGGATCCAGGTGCCCACATCTGGTCCACAGCCAGTTTAGCAAAGCCTGGGCTCCACCTGCACAAGGCATTTCAGTGTGCCTTGGACCCACTGCCAGGTTGCCTGGGCCTGCAGTGTCAGTCATTCCCTCAGCTCCTACCTTCCCTTCTTGAAAAGCACCATGGGGTGGCGCTCATTGTTCATCTGCACCACCAACCCTAGTACAACCTCTGCTGCAGGCTGGGTACTTGGGTGGGGCTCTCCTCCCAGAACTCCACCACCCTGCTCTGGTCAGCACAAAGGGCAGGAGAGGCAAAGGCTTCTGTGGCCACACCTACGCTATGCATGTGACTGGCCCTGGCCCTGTACCCTCTGGCAGAAGCCCAGACAGCAGCAGATTGGCTCAGGGCAGAGGAGGCCTGAACGCCTTTGTAAGGGAACAGCCAGGCTGGGTTATACTCTGTGCTAAGAGTGCCCTGCCGGATCCTACGTGCCAGGTGTGCTCAGAAAAGCCCACCAGGCAGCCAGGGGCCATGGGGCTGCTGACCGGGGACACACTGATGACCCTGGCTCTGGCCGGGGCCGTCTTCTTGCTCTTGCTCGACCTGATGCACCGGCGCTCACGCTGGGCTGCACGCTACCCACCAGGCCCCACGCCCCTGCCCGGGCTGGGTAACCTGCTGCAGCTGGACTTCCAGGACACACCGAAATGCTTCAACCAGGTGAGGGGGGGCAGTCAGGGACAGCAGAGGTCCTGGGGCAACCTAGGGGCAGATGGCGGTGGTGAGTAAAGCCCAGGCCAGACAGGGAGCTGGCCAGCAGAGGAAGGTGCAAGGGGCTTCCTGAGGAGGGCATTTTTAGCAGGGCCTGAAGGACAGTGGGTTTCCAAAGGCAAAGGCCTGGAGCTGGGGCGGTTTGCAGTCCAC